GAGTACACACACACACGACTGCAAGAACGCCTTTGACACAGTTCCTCACAAGAGATTAGTGCAGAAGCTAGAGGATCAGGCGCATATAACAGGAAGGGCACTGCAGTGGATCAGAGAATACCTGGCAGGGAGGCAACAACGAGTCATGTTACGTGATGAGGTATCACAGTGGGCACCTGTGAAGAGCGGGGTCTCACAGGGGTCGGTCCTAGGACCAGTGCTATTTTTGGTATATGTGAATGACATGATGGAAGGATTAGACTCAGAAGTGTTCCTGTTCGCAGATGATGTGGAGTTAATGAGGAGAATTAAATCAGATGAGGACCAGGCAGGACTTCAAAGAGACCTGGACAGACTGGACACCTGGTCCAGCAACTGGCTTCTCGAATTTAACCCCGCCAAATGCAAAGTCATGAAGATCGGGGAAGGGCACAGAAGACCGCAGCCGGAGTATAGGCTAGGTGGCCAAAGACTGCAAACCTCGCTCAAGGAGAAAGATCTTGGGGCGAGTATAACACCGAGCATGTCTTCGGAAGTACACATCAACCAGATAACTGCTGCAGCATATGGGCGCCTGGCAAACCTAAGAACAGCGTTTCGATATCTTAGTAAGGAATCGTTCAAGACACTGTACACCGTGTACGTCAGGTCCATACTGGAGTATGCAGCACCTGTTTGGAACCGGCACTTTATCAAGCACGTCAAGAAATTAGAGAAAGTGCAAAAGTTTGCGACAAGGTTAGTTCCAGAGCTAAGGGGAATGTCCTATGAAGAAAGGTTGAGGGAAATCAGCCTGACGACACTGGAGGACAGGAGGGTTAGGGGAGACATGATAACGACATACAAAATACTGCGCGGAATGGACAAGGTGGACAGAGACAGGATGTTCCAGAGATGAGACACGGAAACAAGGGGTCACAATTGGAAGTTGAAGACCTAGATTATGAGTCAAAGAGAGGTTTTTTAGTGCCAGGAAGGAAAAAAAAACTGGCAGGAAATGGCAGAAATCGTACACCAAATCCAGTCATTCCTGGAGTGGAACCACAGTCGATGGCCTCCACTCCAAACCAACAGATACAGATACTAATGCCGGAAAAAAAATCCCCCCCCAGTACCAACAATACCACCAGTCCGACGACATTCTTCTTTGCAAATATACAGGGTTTAAAGCCAGCAACAAACAACAAAATACCTTTCATCCGTGGACTGCTTGCAGAGGCAAAGGCAATGTTCGCGGCTTTCACTGAGACCCACATAAAGGATCACTTGGACAACGAAATATGGATCCCAGGTTACAACCTATACAGATGTGACAGAGTGAACAGGCAAAAGGGGGGAGTGGTTGGCCTGTACATTGCAGAGTCACTTGTTTGCACAGAACTGCTTAATGCCTCAAATGATGTAGTGGAAGTTTTAGCAGTAAAGGTCGAGAACCAAAACCTAGTCATTGTGGTAGTCTACAAGCCTCCGGATGCAACATCCCAGCAATTCCAGGAACAGCTGTTAAAAATTGACCACTGTCTGGAAAATCTTCCAGCTCCTGCACCCAACATCTTCCTCCTGGGGGATTTCAACTTAAGGCACCTAAAATGGAGGAATATAGCAAATAATATTGTTGCAGTAATAACACCAGGAGGCAGCTCTGATGAAAACTCACACTCACACGAGCTTTTAAATCTCTGCACAAAATTCAATTTAAACCAGCAAATAATAGAGCCTACTAGACTGGAGAATACACTAGACCTCATCTTCACTAACAATGATGATCTGATAAGAAATGTCACCATATCAAAAACAATATACTCAGATCACAACATAATTGAGGTTCAGACATGTATGCGTGGAGCCCCAGACAGACATAATGAGACTAGTCACGAGGGAGCATTCACCAAATTCAACTTCAATAACAAAAACATAAAGTGGGACCAAGTAAACCAAGTCCTAACCGATATAAGCTGGGAAGATATACTAAGCAACACAGACCCCAACGTATGCCTAGAACAGATTAACTTGGTGGCACTCGATGTATGCACAAGGCTTATTCCTCTAAGAAAAAGGAGGAGTAGATGTAAAATAGAAAGAGACAGGCGCTCCCTTTACAGGCGACGGAAAAGAATAACAGAGCGGCTAAAAGAGGTCAATATTTCTGAAATGCGTAGGGAGACACTGGTCAGAGAAATAGCAAGCATCGAACTCAAGTTAAAGGAATCTTATAGGAGTCAGGAATCGCGGGAAGAACTAAAAGCCATAAATGAAATCGAAAGAAACCCAAAGTATTTCTTCTCCTATGCCAAATCAAAGTCGAGAACAACATCCAGTATTGGGCCCCTACTTAAACAAGATGGGTCCTACACAGATGACAGCAAGGAAATGAGTGAGCTACTCAAGTCCCAGTATGACTCAGTTTTTAGCAAGCCGCTAACCAGACTGAGAGTCGAAGATCAAAATGAATTTTTTATGAGAGAGCCACAAAATTTGGTTAACACAAGCCTATCCGATGTTATCCTGACGCCAAATGACTTCGAACAGGCGATAAATGACATGCCCATGCACTCTGCCCCAGGGCCAGACTCATGGAACTCCGTGTTCATCAAGAACTGCAAGAAGCCCTATCACGAGCCTTTTCCATCCTATGGAGAGGGAGCATGGACACGGGGGTCGTCCCACAGTTACTAAAAACAACAGACATAGCCCCACTCCACAAAGGGGGCAGTAAAGCAACAGCAAAGAACTTCAGACCAATAGCACTAACATCCCATATCATAAAAATCTTTGAAAGGGTCCTAAGAAGCAAGATCACCACCCATCTAGAAACCCATCAGTTACACAACCCAGGGCAACATGGGTTTAGAACAGGTCGCTCCTGTCTGTCTCAACTATTGGATCACTACGACAAGGTCCTAAATGCACTAGAAGATAAAAAGAATGCAGATGTAATATATACAGACTTTGCAAAAGCCTTCGACAAGTGTGACCATGGCGTAATAGCGCACAAAATGCGTGCTAAAGGAATAACAGGAAAAGTCGGTCGATGGATCTATAATTTCCTCACTAACAGAACACAGAGAGTAGTCGTCAACAGAGTAAAGTCCGAGGCAGCTACGGTGAAAAGCTCTGTTCCACAAGGCACAGTACTCGCTCCCATCTTGTTCCTCATCCTCATATCCGACATAGACAAGGATGTCAGCCACAGCACCGTGTCTTCCTTTGCAGATGACACCCGAATCTGCATGACAGTGTCTTCCATTGCAGACACTGCAAGGCTCCAGGCGGACATCAACCGAATCTTTCAGTGGGCTGCAGAAAACAATATGAAGTTCAACGATGAGAAATTTCAATTACTCAGATATGGTAAACACGAGGAAATTAAATCTTCATCAGAGTACAAAACAAATTCTGGCCACAAAATAGAGCGAAACACCAACGTCAAAGACCTGGGAGTGATCATGTCGGAGGATCTCACCTTCAAGGACCATAACATTGTATCAATCGCATCTGCTAGAAAAATGACAGGATGGATAACGAGAACCTTCAAAACTAGGGAGGCCAAGTCCATGATGACACTCTTCAGGTCACTTGTTCTATCTAGGCTGGAATATTGCTGCACACTAACAGCACCTTTCAAGGTGCCCGAAATGCCTAGCCATGCTAAGCGTTCTAGTGGTACACTCTGTAATCACAATTTTACTACATGTAAACCACACAATAACCAAATTTCTGTAAACTCAGCATTGTAATCCTTATAGAGAATAAACTTTGAATTTGAAAGGCAGGTGAAATTGCTGACCTAGAAAATGTACAGAGAACCTTCACGGCGCGCATAACGGAGATAAAACACCTCAATTACTGGGAGCGCTTGAGGTTCCTGAACCTGTATTTCCTGGAATGCAGGCGGGAGAGATACAAGATTATATACACCTGGAAAATCCTAGAGGGACTAGTACCGAACTTGCACACGAAAATCACTCACTACGAAAGCTAAAGACTTGGCAGACGATGCAACATCCCCCCAATGAAAAGCAGGGGTGTCACTAGCACGTTAAGAGACCATACAATAAGTGTCAGGGGCCCGAGACTGTTCAACTGCCTCCCAGCATACATAAGGGGGATTACCAACAGACCCCTGGCAGTCTTCAAGCTGGCACTGGACAAGCACCTAAAGTCGGTTCCTGACCAGCCGGGCTGTGGCTCGTACGTTGGTTTGCGTGCAGCCAGCAGCAACAGCCTGGTTGATCAGGCTCTGATCCACCAGGAGGCCTGGTCACAGACCGGGCCGCTGGGGCGTTGACCCCCGGAACTCTCTCCAGGTAAACTCCAGGTAAACTCATAGAGTAGTCAGGAAGTGGAATAGCCTAGCAAGTGAGGTAGTGGAAGCAGGAACCATACATAGCTTTAAGATGAGGTATGATTAAGCTCATGGAGCAGGGAGAGAGAGGACCTAGTAGCACTCGGTGAAGAGGCGGGGCCAGGAGGTGAGTATCAATCCCTGCAACCACAATTAGGTGAATACAATTAGGTGAGTACAAAATATAGCTAATGTACTATCACTAGAACTAGAGCCCCGCAGCAAATGGTTAGTAGACAACAAACTATCGCTGCACATCGGGAAACCAGAAGGCATAATCTTTGGCACGAAAAGTAAACTGAAAAGGGTAAATACTTCTAATGTACAGTGTAATGGGGAACCCATCACTTCAATACCCAACGGAATAAAGGACCCCAATAGAAATATGTCGCTTTATCTGACTTATACAATGACATATAGATTATTCTTGTTGTTCATAGTATTCTGCTTTAGCTAAACAAAAAAATAAATGGAAGACATAGTACAAATCACCTAGGTGTGTGAGATTCACACAGCTAACATTCCCTCAAGTCTCACTACTGCCGATTTGAACGAAGCTTCATTGCCGGACACCGATAGGTTGGGTTCGTTACGGTATAAGAATATAAATTAGACTCATGTGCGACACTTGGGCATCCTTATTGAGGAAACGTTTCGCCACACAGTGGCTTCATCAGTCCATACAAAGGAGAATGGTGAAGAACAGAAGGAGCCTGAGGTAGTCAGTCCTTTAGCCTGGAATAGATATGATCAGTCCACCAATTTTTCCAAGATTCTCTGAAGCACTTATCTACATCACGGTGTCAGATGTTAGTGGCCCTATTAACCCCAAACAATAACAAGGTGATACGCGTGGTCTTATTGTGCAGTTATTAGAAGAAGAAATATCTAAGCAAAATACCCGTATCCTGAAGAAGAAAGAATACTTCTTTACTATACTTCCACATTGGGTGTATAAACCCGGACTCCAAATATTAGGGCTCATTATAGCCTAGACTACAGTAACTGAAGGACAACAGATGGAAAAATGAAGGCAAATAAAGCAAAATTTGAAGACATTTGTAAGGGATTTACGGATTTATTAAAAAATCCTGAGGATTATCTAAGGTTGGTACTTTAACAAGTAAAGTCACTCATTTATATTGGTTGATAAATAAGACACAGGTGCAGTAGTTAGGTATCTTTATTACTAAACTGTTCGCCTGCACATTAGTCCTCAATAATAATAATAATAATAATAATAATAATAATAATAATATCTTTATTTCTACATGTACAAGGTATACAGGCCATAGCTGGTGGCCCGGTGGCCTGGTGGCTAAAGCTCCCGCTTCACACACGGAGGGCCCGGGTTCGATTCCCGGCGGGTGGAAACTTTTCGACACGTTTTCTTACTCCTGTTGTCCTGTTCACCTAGCAGCAAATAGGTACCTGGGTGTTAGTCGACTGGTGTGGGTCGCATCCTGGGGGACAAGATTAAGGACCCCAATGGAAATAAGTTAGACAGTCCTCGATGACGCACTGACTTTCTTGGGTTATCCTGGGTGGCTAACCCTCTGAGGTTAAAAATCCGAACGAAATCTTATCTAGCTGACATCAATGACATATTACTATGTAGAAAGCCCCTTTTTATGCTGAACATTTTGGCAATTTAGTTAGTTTTGTCCCAGGATGCGACCCACACCAGTCCACTAACACCCAGGTACCCATTTTACTGATGGGTGAATATAGACAATTGGTGTAAAGAAATACAGTGGAACCTCTACTTGCGAGCGTGTCCACGTGCCAGTTTTTCCAAATACGAGCAGTCGATGGGCCGATTTTTTGCTTCCATACGCGAGCAAAATTTCCACAAGCGAGCAGACCTCAAGGCAGGTTCCTTGACACTGGTGAGGGACTCTTGCTCTTGATCTCGGGAATTGTATCTCATTTGTTTGTTGGACTATATTATTGAAACTTAGGCAATGTATGATGGAAAGATGCTTCTTAATGTACACCAAAAATGAAAGAAATCTAAGCATAAATAATGGAGTTCACTTCTCAGCAATTAGCCACCCCTTAGTGGTAATTTTGAATGGTTTTTATGGTTGTATTCTCGTTTTTTTTGGTCTCATTTGATAGAATGGAAGATACATTACAGAGATAGATATGATTTTGATTGCTTTCACGACGAAAAGTACCCTGAAATAGAGCTCAACCTAGGAGAAATGGTCCATTGCTTGGCTGTTTCAGTATAAACAAATGACGTCACAGTAAATCTTATATTTTTTGTGTGAATAAAAACTACAAATTATTTATATAATAATAATAATAATAATAATAATAATAATAATAATAATAATAACGAAAGAAATCTAAGCATAAATAATGGAGCTCACTTCTCAGCAATTAGCTGTTTATTATGTCATATTAGATGAAGTGAGATAGATAAATAAGCCATAGAGTTAATATTAGTGAAATTATTGAAGTACGTACAGAATTCCACTGGAACGGATTAATTGCATTTCAGTTAATTTAAATGAGGAAAATTGACTCTGCAAACGAGCAAATCCAGTTGCGAGCAAGGTCATGGAACGGATTAAACTCGCAAGTAGAGGTTCCACTGTACACCCAATGTTTGCTCCCTCGCCAGGAATCGAACTCGGACCCTCGCCAGGTGAAACGAGAGCTTTAGCCATCAGGCCACAGGGTACCATTGAATATGTTAAAACAGAGGAAGCAACAGAAGCATAGGGATGTGAAAATAATGTATTCAGTCCATCATCCTCATAGATGTAGTTTTGAGGTGGTCAGTCCCTCAGCCTGGAGAAGAGCTCTGCTTCATACTCTGGAACAATGTCTTGGATTTACCTGCTTGACACCAGATTTTTTTCCCCCTTGGTTCTCCATATAACCATCCATCTAGTTACATGTGCATTTGCATGTCACCGACATCAGTGAGTCATCCAGGCTTGGCGTCTTGGTCAGATATATGGATGAGTAAGTATGTAAGTAAGCTTTTTTACGTACAAGTCCACATACCTGGAGGGTGTTCCAGGGGTCAACGTCCCCATGGCTCAGTCCCTGACCAGTACAGTTTTAATACGTAGTGTAAATTACCTATGATAACAAGACAGTGTGACTTATTTTCAGCAACCTATGGTGGCTTGTGGCTCAAGTTATAGCTCCTTTGGAAATAAATAGTGTGAAATACTGACACAATGGAAATATAAACACATAAGCTATACCTGACCAGCCGGGCTGTGGCTCGTACGTTGGATTGCGTGCAGCCAGCAGTAACAGCCTGGTTGATCAGGCCCTGAGCCACCATGAGGCCTGGTCAAAGATTGGGCCGCGGGGGCGTTGACCCCCGGAACTCTCTCCAGGTAAACTCCAGGTAAGCAGAACAGTGTGATCCTTTATTAACAATGTTTCGCCCACACAGTGACTTGATAAAGCCCACTGTGTGGGCAAAACATTGTCAATAAAGGATCACATTGTACTGCTTATGTGTTTATATTTCCATTATAGCTCCTTTGGCTCACCTCTGAAGGGTCTGGGTTCACCCTAACACAGGTCAAAATGTTGGGCATGTTTCCTTACACTTGTTGTCTTGGTTCACGTAGCAGCAAGTAGGTGGAAGAGTTTATGATGAGTTATGTTGCTGTACCAAGGCATGGCAGACAATTTTGCCCAAGAAATGTGGATTTTTATGCAGTATTATTGTTAGGGAAAGATGTTCAGATATATTTTTTCAATGAGGTATTTTTGGACAAAATATAATGATGTATTATATGAAAATTACACCAAACCCATGATGTATTTAGTTCTCAATGATGCACTGCCTTTCTTGGGTTATCCTGGGTTGCTAGTCCTTCGGGGTTAAAAATCTTGTATGTATATCTTATTAACTATACAGCCTTATATAAGGTTCAGCTGAGCCACTGCCGTGTATAGTTAGTGTAACTGAGTGCCCATTGTACTGGCAGTTATGGTTTGTAATTTTAATATATTTTACCTTTTATATTACATATACAGTACTATTATTATTTGTTGAAAGTTAAGATGGAATACTTGGGTCTAACTGAAATATAAAGCAAAACCAGTGTCTTTACTCCGATGCTACTGAGCATACAGTACAGTACGTGTATTTGGAAATTTCCTCATATATGCTATATGCAGATCATATTATATTTTGGTTCTCTTGTATTGTATTTTCTCATTGTTCTAGACCTAACAGTAATCTGAGAGAAGCTTGGGTGGAGCAAACCAAGAGAGTATACAATTTTTTGAAAGAAGAGGAAAGGAAATATAATCTTCCCAGTCCTAAGGATGCACTTCCTCAACTCTACACAGATGGACTTGATACTGAACAGGTAAGAACATTATATTCAAATAAAGGGGGTATGGAGAAAAGAAATCATTAAAAGTATGCATAAATGAAAAAAAAAAACATAGACTAGTGGATAGTGTGATCAGTAGACCTCTGTCCTGTGAGTAGTGTTAGTTGGGCATTGCTGATCATTACTTACTAAGGGTACCTTGGTTCTGTATGACCCATACAAGTTTGGTACATTTTTGTGAATATATTGAGGATACTTAAAAAAGTTTTTTATTAATTTAACCCCTTCACTGTCTCTTATAAATCTACATTATTGATGCCAGTGTCACTCACTTAGATCTACACTATAATCACAGTACCCTCAAATATGCTGTGAGTAGTAAATTTTGACCTTGACATGAGAGAATGGTTCTGAGCAGTTAGTAGACACATTATAAAAAAATCCTACCTCATGCATTGTATGATGGGAAAAAGAAACCTCTGACTTTGTATTCAGTTTAAAATAGCAACTTTGAGGAGTTTTCTAGAATGTCTTCTGCTCTGCCTGTTGGCATCAACAGATAGAGTAGAAGACATAATACTACTGAAATTGAGATGGTTTCAGTCAGTTTCAGGACTGGAAGTAGCTTGAAATAGTGCTCTAATTAGCAGAAATATTTAATTTTAGACAAATTTCCTAAAGCAGAGTAAGTGTTCCCTGTGGACTTTGTTTTATGAGTTTTTACTAGGTCTCCTTCAATTATTGGGATGCCCTAAACCATGATAATCATTCTTGGTTATATTTTATTAATCCGAGAGATTGGGTAAAACTTGTATTTTTTGTTGGATTCAAAATGGTGGGCAAGTGTAATATAGGAGAGGTGTAGGTACTTGATGAATAAACAAAGGATAGGGTGCTTTAATGGTTGGAATATATACAGTGTTCATATTGGACCCTGTTTTTAAATTGGAATTTGTTGAATATTGTGTAAAATTGGCCAAATTGCTGATTTCCATACGCTTTATTTTGTAGTGCTGATAATTGAATATGTGTTTTTTTGTGCTCAGTCAGTACAGTATAACATAAGGCATACTAGCCAAATAGCCAAGAATTTGGTCAGACTGAGCAATGGAATTTGCTTAAATAGGGCTCAAAGTGGGCATAATAGTAGGTGTGTAAATTGAACCCAGACTGCCAACTTTGTGCCTGCATAATTCCATAAGTTTTCTCTCAGATTTTGTATTATTGGTGTTTTCATCTTCCTGGAGTTTACCTGGAGAGAGTTCCGGGGGTCAGCGCCCCCGCGGCCCGGTCTGTGACCAGGCGTCCTGGTGGATCAGAGCCTGATCAACCAGGCTGTTACTGCTGGCTGCACGCAATCCAACGTACGAGCCACAGCCCGGCTGGTGAGGTACCGACTTTAGGTGCTTGTCCAGTGCCTGCTTGAAGACAACCAGGGGTCTATTGGTAATCCCCCTTATGTATGCTGGGAGGCAGTTGAACAGTCTCGGGCCCCTGACACTTATTGTATTGTCTCTTAACATGCTAGTGACACCCCTGCTTTTCATTGGAGGGATGTTGGATCGTCTGCCGAGTCTTTTGCTTTCGTTGTGAGTGATTTTCGTTTGCAAGTTCGGTTCTAGTCCCTCTAGGAGAAGATTCTCTACTATTTCAGAAGATTCTTTTTTTTTTTTTTTTTTTTTTTAATTTTTTTTATTTTAGGGGTGTGACAATGAAAAAGTTAATTTCATGATAAGAATATGTGAAGAAAGCATTGTTGGAGAAAAAGAAAACCCTAAAATGGTTTGGCAGGGAAAGGTTAGGTACAGAAACCTGTGGAAAGTGGTTGGTGGATAAGGTATGAAACTGGAAGTTGTGGAACTTTGAAGCAGCAGGTGTTCTCTACACCTGCTGCTTCAAAGTTCCACAAATTTCCCTTTGCTGTAGAATGATTGAAGTTTAATTACTTATAAGGAGACAAGACAAAAAAAATATCCAATGAAAGTAATTACTGTACACAGACAGTGCATTCTGTAACAAGTTAAGTAAGAGATAGGGGTGCTTCCCTGGGGTTGGATAGAAGATATAGTTAACAGGTTAGATAGCAAGACACTTTGTGGGAACAATCCTATTACCTTCCTAAATGCTGGAGGCATTATCTTGAAATGTATGGGGCAGGAATGAGGAGTTGTTTGAGATATATTTTTAATTAGCCCTTTCACTGTCTCTTATGTAGATTTATATTTTGAGCTCAGCTCCCTTAGATAAGCTGTGTGTGGTAAATTTTGGCCTGTACATGTGAGAATGGTCTGTGTGGTGAGTGTGCATGGTATAAAAAAATAATTGATCTATAGTTTCCAAAATCCATTAAAGGGGTTTGTTAATAACCTTTAAACTGTCCAAACTATAGATCTACATTTTTCCAACATTTGAAAGTATGTAAAAAAACGTAGATCTTTTTTTTTTTTTACATTTGAAAACGTGTAAAAAAAACCTTTGATGTACTTTTTTTTTTGTTATATTTGAAAGTATGTAAAAAATGTAGATCTGCTTTTGGAGCACTACGCATGTGAACGTAAATTTGTTTGGACAGTTTAAGGGTTAGAAGGTTATACTGTATAGCAAAAGTGAGGAACTTACCCTCTTAACAAAGGTGTATAATTAGGGGGTAATATGATTAAAATATCCAGGTAGTAGGTTGGCCTGGCCTGGTCTCAGACTGAGCTGCGGGGGCATTGACCCCCCGAAACCCTCTCCAGGCAAACCACCCAGGGAGGTACTACCGTCCTGTCACGTGAGTGTGAAACGGAAACCTGTGATTGTTTTACATGATGGTAGGATTGCTGGTGTCTTTTTTTCTGTCTCATAAACATGCAGGGTTTCAGGTACGTCTTACTACTTCTACTCACACTTAGGTCACACTACACATACATGTACAAGCATATATATACACACCTTGCTGGGTTTTCTTCTATTTTCTTTCTAGTTCTTGTTCTTGTTTATTTCCTCTTATCTCCATGGGAAAGTGGAACAGAATTCTTCCTCCGTAAGCTATACGTGTTGTAAGAGGTGACTAAAATGCCGGGAGCAAGGGGCTAGTAACCCCTTCTCCCGTATAAATTACTAAATTTAAAAAGAGAAACTTTCGTTTTTCTTTTTGGACCACCCTGCCTTGGTGGGATACGGCCAGTTTGTTGAAAAAAAAAATATATATATATATATATATCTTTCTTTCAACGTACCAGCCGTATCCCACCAAGGTGGGGCGGCCCAAAAGAAAAAACGAAAGTTTCTCCTTTCAAATTTAGTAATATATACAGGAGAAGGGGTTACTAGCCCCTTGCTCCTAGCATTTTAGTTGCCTCATACGACACGCATGGCTTACGGAGGAAGAATTCTGGACCATTTCTCCATGGAGAATATATATATATATATTTTATATATATATATATTATATATATATATATATATATATATATATATATATATATATATATATATATATATATATATATATTTATATATATATAATAAATATTGATGAGGGAAAAAAGGTGAGTGGTGCGTTGAGGTATATGTGGAGTCAAAAAACGTTATCTATGGAGGCAAAGAAGGGAATGTATGAAGTATAGTAGTACCAACACTCTTATATGGATGTGAAGCTTGGGTGGTAAATGCAGCAGCGAGGAGACGGTTGGAGGCAGTGGAGATGTCCTGTCTAAGGGCAATGTGTAGTGTAAATATTATGCAGAAAATTCGGAGTGTGGAAATTAGGAGAAGGTGTGGAGTTAATAAAAGTATTAGTCAGAGGGCAGAAGAGGGGTTGTTGAGGTGGTTTGGTCATTTAGAGAGAATGGATCAAAGTAGAATGACATGGAAAGCATATAAATCTATAGGGGAAGGAAGGAGGGGTAGGGGTCGTCCTCGAAAGGGTTGGAAAGAGGGGGTAAAGGAGGTTTTGTGGGCGAGGGGCTTGGACTTCCAGCAAGCGTGCATGAATGTGTTAGATAGGAGTGAATGGAGACGAATGATACTTGGGACCTGACGATCTGTTGGAGTGTGAGCAGGGTAATATTTAGTGAAGGGATTCAAGGAAACCGGTTATTTTCATATAGTCGGACTTGAGTCCTGGAAATGGGAAGTACAATGCCTGCACTTTAAAGGAGGGGTTTGGGATATTGGCAGTTTGGAGGGATGTTGTGTATCTTTATATGTATATGCTTCTAAACTGTTGTATTCTGAGCACCTCTGCAAAAGCAGTGATAATGTGTGAGTGTGGTGAAAGTGTTGAATGATGATCAGTGAAGAGGCGGGGCCAGGAGCTCGGACTCGACCCCCGCAACCTCAACTAGGTGAGTACAACTAGGTGAGTACACACACACACACACACACACACACCACAGGGAGATTGACTGGGAAAACCTGGAGCCACATGGGGGTCCCGAAACATGGAGAGCCAGGATGTTGGACGTGGTGCTGGAAAACCTCATGCACCAACATGTTAAGGACACTACCAGAGTGAGAGGGGAGGATGAACCAGCAAGATTGGACCTTGTGTTCACCCTGGGCAGCTCAGACATTGAGGACATCAAGTATGAGAGTCCCATAGGAGCTAGCGACCACGTGGTTCTGTGCTTTGAATACATAGTAGAGCTGCAAGTGGAGAGAATAACAGGAGTAGAATGGGAAAAGCCTGACTATAAAAGAGGGGACTACATAGGGTTGAAGAACTTCCTGCGGGAGGTCCAGTGGGACAGAGAACTGGCAGGAAAGCCAGTAAATGAAATGATGGAATATGTAGCAACAAAATGCAAGGAGGCAGTGGAAAGGTTCATTCCCAAGGGCAACAGTAACAACGGGAAGACCAGAACAAGCCCCTGGTTCACCCGACGGTGTAAGGAGGCAAAAACAAAGTGCAATAGAGAATGGAAAAAGTACAGAAGGCAGAGAACACACGAAAATAGGGAGATCAGTCGCAGAGCCAGGAATGAGTACGCACAGGTAAGGAGGGAGGCCCAGCGACAGTATGAAAATGACATAGCATCGAGAATCAAGACTGACCCGAAACTGTTGTATAGCCACATCAGGAGGAAGACAACAGTCAAAGACCAGGTGATCAGATTAAGGACAGAAGGTGGAGAACTCACAAGAAATGATCAGGAGGTATGTGAGGAGCTGAACAGGAGATTTAAGGAAGTTTTTACAGTAGAGACAGGAAGGGCTGTGGGAAGACAGAACAGAAGGGAACATCAAGAGGGAATATACCAACAAGTGTTGGATGACATACGAACAACTGAGGAGGAGGTGAAGAAGCTCTTAAGCGACCTTGACACCTCAAAGGCGATGGGACCGGACAACATCTCCCCATGGGTCCTTAGAGAAGGAGCAGAGATGCTGTGTGTGCCTCTAACCACAATCTTCAACACATCCCTTGAAACTGGGCAACTACCTGAGAAATGGAAGACAGCTAATGTAGTCCCCATATTTAAGAAAGGAAAGAGAAACGAGGCACTAAACTACAGACCTGTGTCTCTGACATGTATTGTGTGCAAAGTCATGGAGAAGATTATCAGGAGGAGAGTGGTCGAACACCTGGTAAGGAACAAGATTATAAATGAAAACCAGCATGGGTTCATGGAAGGCAAATCTTGTATCACAAACCTCCTGGAGTTTTATGACAAGGTAACAGAAGTAAGACACGAGAGAGAGGGTTGGGTAGATTGCGTTTTCCTAGACTGCAGGAAGGCCTTTGACACAGTTCCCCACAAGAGATTAGTGCAGAAGCTGGAGGATCAGGCACACGTAAAAGGAAGGGCACTGCAATGGATAAGGGAATACCTGACAGGGAGGCAGCAACGAGTCATGGTACGTGAAGAGGTATCACAGTGGGCGCCTGTTACGAGCGGGGTCCCACAGGGGTCAGTTCTAGGACCAGTGCTATTTTTGATATATGTGAACGACATGATGGAAGGAATAGACTCTGAAGTGTCCCTGTTCGCAGATGACGTGAAGTTGATGAGAAGAATTAAATCGGACGAGGATGAGGCAGGACTGCAAAGAGACCTGGAGAGGCTGGACATGTGGTCCAGTAACTGGCTTCTCGAATTCAGTCCAGCCAAATGCAAAGTCATGAAGATTGGGGAGGGGCAAAGAAGACCGCAGACAGAGTATAGGCTAGGTGGACAAAGACTACAGACCTCACTCAGGGAGAAAGACCTTGGGGTGACCATAACACCGAGCACATCACCGGAGGCACACATCAACCAAATAACTGCTGCAGCATACGGGCGCCTGGCAAACCTGAGAATAGCGTTCCGATACCTTAATAAGGAATCGTTCAAGACACTGTACACTGTGTATGTTAGGCCCATACTGGAGTATGCAGCACCAGTCTGGAACCCACACCTGGTCAAGCACGTCAAGAAGTTAGAGAAAGTACAAAGGTTTGCAACAAGGCTAGTCCCAGAGCTCAAGGGAATGCCGTACGAGGAAAGGTTAAGGGAAATCGGTCTGACGACACTGGAGGACAGAAGGGTCAGGGGAGACATGATAACGACATACAAGATACTGCGGGGAATAGACAAGGTGGGCAGAGATAGGATGTTCCAGAGAGGGGACACAGGGACAAGGGGTCACATCTGGAAGCTGAAGACTCAGACGAGTCACAGGGACGTTAGGAAGTATTTCTTCAGTCATAGAGTTGTCAGCAAGTGGAATAGCCTAGCAAGTGAAGTAGTGGAGGCAGGAACCATACATAGTTTTAAGAAGAGGTATGACAAAGCTCAGGAAGCAGAGAGAGAGAGGATCCAGTAGCGATCAGTGAAGAGGCGGGGCCAGGAGCTGAGTCTCGACCCCTGCAACCACAATTAGGTGAGTACAATTAGGTGAGTACACACACACACACACACACACCCCTCTGGGTTTTATTCTATTTTCTTCCTAGTTCTTCTTGTTTATTTCCTCTTATCTTCATGGGGCAGTGGAACAGAATTCTTCCTCCGTAAGCCATGTGTGTCGTAAGAGGTGACAAAAATGCTAGGAGCAAGGGGCTAGTAACCTCTTCTTCTGTATATATTACTAAATTTGAAAGAGCATCAAACTCTGAAAACCCCAAAATAAGTGTATAATTAAACATGTTAGATAGAAGTTGAGTGGAGATAAGCGGTTTTTTGGGACCTGACGAACTGATCGAGCATGAGCAAGACTTGAGCCCTGGAGGTGGGAAGTAGAGAGCCTGCACTCTGAAGGAGGGGTTGGGATATTTGCTGTTTGGAGGACATTTGAACTGTCTTATCTGTGCACTTCTGCCAAGACAGTGATGGTGTGAATGATGGTGAAAGTGCTTCTTTTTTGGGTCACCCTGCCTTCTTGGGAGTTGGCCAGTGTGTTAAAAAAAAATAAACAATATCCGTGGCGAACCATTCCCATTACCAACTTTCATTTTTCTTTTTTGGGCCACCCTGCCTAGGTGGGATATGGCTGGTTTGTTGAAAAAAAAGAAATGTTTGAAATACATATATAAATGGAAAATATGAATCATTAAAAGGGATAGAGAGAAAGTGCTGAAAATATCTAACAGACAGAATTTGTAAAAATAGATTCTAGTTGAATGAATATTGATTTAGAAAGGATTTAACCCTTTAACTGTCGCAACCCCCAATCCTGAGGTGTCTCCTGGTGTCGCAAAATTTAAAAAAAAAAAAAAAAAAATTTTTCTTATGAAATGATAGAGAATCTTTTCCCGATTGTAATGACACCAAAAAAACGAAATTTGATGGAAAACTGACGGAATTATGCTCTCGCGAAATTAGCGATCTCGGCGCTGTTTACAAATCGGCGATTTCGCCCACTTTGAGCCCTATTATCGGCTAACTCCATTGTTCCAGTCGCCCAAACTCATAGCTATTTGTTTAGAACTCCATTTTCTCTATCGATTGAGTACAAGAAACTGCCCATTTACCGATTTCAACTACCTAATAATGTGGTCAGAAATTTGCAATTTGGCCAATTTCACGAAAACTAAAAAATATGACAATTTCAAAATAGGGTCCAGAATGAACAATGCAGACATTCCTGGCTCTAAAATAACATTTTCTTTGTTCATCAGTCATGTCTCCAGTCCCCTCTGATATTACTCTTGATTTCTATTTTGAATTTTTATTCAAACAAAAAATAGAAGACTTACTATTATGCAGACTACTGCAATACTGTAATAATTGTATAAATAACATCAACCCATTCATGACTGCATATTAGAATGGCTAGTTGGACATTTATTGGACAATGGCATCATTTGTTTACTTTTGAACATTGGCAGAAATCAAACATTTCCCCTACTTTGAGCTCCATTTCTATGTTCTTTTTATAGTAAAATCAATCAAAATCACCTCTATTTCTATAATATGTTTTCCATTCTATCAAATGAGACCAAGAAAACGAGAATACAACCATAAATACTATACGAAAATAGACCACAAAGTCGGCATTTTAATTAAAAAAAACAGTCGGAGTTTTTTTTTTCTCATTATGCACTGCGTGCTCCAGGATTTTTTTTTATATGGTGCACACTGACCACACAGACCCATTCTCTCACATGTGGGCCTACCAGCTTTCTCCTGCTTGATTTGAATCCGCTAGAATTTATGAGTATATATACGTCAAACACGGTACCTCGTAAGACGTATATATACGGCCGCGACAGTCAAAGAGTTAAGAAAGCACTGGTCTGTCAGTAGAGTTTACCCGGAGTTTACCTGGAGAGGGTTTTGGGGGTCCACGCCCCCATGGCTCAGTCTGAGACCAGGCCTCATGGTGGATCAGGGTCTGATCAACCAGGCTGTTACTGCTGGTCACCCACAAATTGACATACAAACCACAGCCCGGTTGGTCAGGTACTGACTTTAGGTGCCTATCCAGTGCCGCCTTGAAGATGCCAGGGGTCTATTGGTAATCCCCCTTTTGTATGCTGGGAGACAGTTGAACAGTCTTGGGCCCTGGACACATATTGTGTTGTCTCTCAGTGTACTCATGGCTCCCCAGCTTTTCATTGGGGGAATGTTACATCTCCTGCCGAGTCTTTTGCTTTCATAGGGAGGGATTTTTGTGTGCAGGTTTGGTACCAATCCCTCCAGGAGTTGGATAAATGCAGCATACTGCCAAGATGCTTCATTGAAACAGATGCTTTGAGTACAGTAGGTTTATAAATCTGTTAGACAAATACATGAGTAGGAATGTTGAATTTGATTGGACCTACTTAGTTTGGTCTAGAAATCCTAGCACATGTTCCTCTGTTCTTGTATTCTGATAGATTGATGAATCTTTAAAATGTTAAACTGAAATATGCAAAATTATCTTCATCAGAATAATAACACTGAATGTTATTGACAATCTGCTTTCATTCACTGGTATTGTTTTTCAGATCTGGCAATTGGTGGAGCTACAGAATAAGAGTCTATTGGCTGCTCCAGATGATTTCCAGGGACTGGATGAAGTAAACCTTTGTTTTATGGTGGCTAAACTTAGTAGTTTGGCTAAGTATGGTAGACTATCACTTGCTGAAAGTGGAGCTCCGGATGAGAGCATTACATACAGCAGTGATGATGAGGAAGATTATAACAATGTATACCAAGATGATAATGATTTACTTATGGATAACTCTGAAGACAATGATGAACCGAGTAATGAAGACAGTGATAATGAAGATATTTTTGAAAATGCCAAAGGGTTGAAAGATATTGGACTGAATATTAACTTTGATAATAGCAGTGATGATGAAGAAGACAATTTTGATGAGTTGATAGCTCCAGAGGGAAAAGAGTCAGATGATGAAGAGGAAGAGGAAGATGCTGATGATGGTAATGATGATGATGTCAGTAATGAGTTGGCATTTAAAAAATTAAAAGAAAAAGGAAAAGAAAGTGAGAGCATTCAAAAATTTGGAAATACGGAGGTTGACACTAAATTTTTCAAGCTTAGAGAAAGTGAATGGGTGGCTGACAATGATATCATTGGTCAGAACTATAATATGGATTCTGAAGAGATCGACTTCATGGAAGACATTTCTGATGAAAGTGAGGGAGAGGTAAGTACTGCACATGTCATCTGAATTACTATATTACATATGTTAGCAGGTTTAATCATTAGCTTATGCAGACACTTATAGAGCATTTAGACATACTTCCTCTCTCTCGTTTCTGTTCCTTACTACTACTTGCTACTTTAGGAAATTACTATGATTCAAATTTGCTTTTCTCTTCTGTTCCCAAAAGGTGAGGATGTTGGAGTTTGGTGGGTCATCTGACCCTTGATGTCAGTATGCTTCTGGCAAGACAGCAATTGAATGAGTGATGGTGAAAATGTTTCTTCTTTTTTTGGGTTATGCTTCTGGCAAGACAGCAATTAAATATGTGATGGCAAAAATATTTTTAATTTTTGGGGGGTTATCCTACCTTGGCATACGGTCACTGTTTTAAAAAAGTGAATAGGATACAAGGTTCTGACCAGAGCTTTGGTAAGATGGGGAAGGAAGAATGATGGGTAAGGATGGAGGTATGGGAAAGGGTTGGGAGAGTGGTGGGGGAGGTTGGGTTTTTAAAGGTAGGTGGCATATCCACTTTGGCACAAGTTAAACAAGTGTGTGTGTGTGTATGTAGTGTTATTCTTGAATACATTAGATTCATAAGATAGGTACACCTTCTGCCTGTCAGTTGCACATTGTTATACCAGCTATGCACCAGCATTCCACTGAGTTGGAAGAAGGCATACTACTTGCAATTTTTTTTTTTTTTTTTTTTTTTTGCGCAAGAGGACGGTCATAAGGCTGCTGCTGCAGGTGGTAGTTGCAGGTCCTTCAATGGAGAGTGGGTGCTAACCCGGAGTTGGTTGGCTAAGCAGTTTCTGAGCAGTATACGTATATGAGTAAGAATGGTTGGGTTTAAGAAGGACTTGCCTAGCTTGGACCAATAAAGCCTACTGCAGGGCTTTTCCATTCTTATGTTCATATGTAAGAATAGGAGGTACTAAGTGCTACAATCATTAGAAACTTTGAATATCTGTATGATAACTGAAATGCTCTTCTGAAAAACATGACACCACAAGCTGCACCTGTAGCTACAATTTTTTTTTTTTAACATTGGCCATCTCCCACTGAGGCAGGGTGACCCAAAAAAAGAAACACTTTCACCATTATTCATACTATCACTGTTTTGCCAGAGATGCACCGTTATGACATATATGTATGTACTGTAATTACTTAGTATTGCAGTGCATATTCTTATTCCTTTTGGATTCCTCTGCTCCCGTATGATTGTTTGAAATCTTAATTTCTGATAAATTCATTAACATTTTGAGCAAAATGCTCTTGAGTCTAGAGTAAGAATGTTCATACTTAAGTTTTACGTAGTTATCTATATTTGTGTACTCTTTTGTAATATTTTTATGATATGGCGCTTCATTTCTCTGTGCAGGAAGGTGTCATGTATGATGCATTTTTTGATGTATCAAATGATGAAGATAAAAGAAAAAAGTCAAAGAAAATGTCAGAGCCATTGAATGACCACAATATGGATGTTGAAGAAGATGAAGAAGACCAGAACAACTTTGGTAGAAGTCAAACTAATGATGAGAAACTTCTGAAACAAGATGATTCAAGTCATGATGAAGGAGAGGTTCACATCTTGGGCTCCAAAAAAAAGGAGGTATGGCATGCATATTTAATGATAATACAGTAGCCACAAATATTAATTCATATACCATATTCTAACTTTCATTGTGTCATGGTTCTGTCTACTTTTAAATTAAGTTTTTAGCCCTTAAACTGTCCAAACATAGATCTATGTTCGCTCATGTAGTGCTCCGAATGTAGATCTATGTTTTTTTTACATTCTTTCTTATGGAGAAAATCAAGGTCAGAGCGCTACACACGCAAACATAGATCTACGTTTGGACAGTTTTAGGGTAAAACGTATGCAGTGCTGAGACACGTATGTATATGCATTCACACGCAAAAATAGCCTTACACGCCTGCATGCACACCTGTCTAATGATGAAACCTTGAACTAAGTACAACACTTTATGAAAATGATAAGTAAATAATAATTGACGTGGGAGATAGCCCATGTTTTGTTCTTTTAGAAATGGGAACCAACCAGTAAGCAATTAATCATAATTTTAGTGTCCATTTTGGTTTGTGCAAGTACAACCTCTCTTCACTTAGCGACATACTCATTTATCGACGACTCGGACTTACGACGGGCTCTCTGACCAGTATGCATACCTAAATAATGTACACTGATTTCCTCCATTATGTTTATTACAATATACAGTACACTACTGTATAAGCATATAAAAATATATTAAAAATGTTATTAATGATGCAAAGGTGACATTACAACATTATCAAAGATGGTTGACTGAAACCCACTACCATTATACAGTGGACCCCCGCATAGCGACTTTAATCTGTGCAAGAGGGCTGACTGTTATGCGAAATGTTCGGTATGCGAATGAATTTTCCCCATAAGAAATAATGGAAATCAAATTAATCCGTGCAAGACTCCCAAAAGTATGAAAAAAAAATTTTTACCACATGAAATATACATTTTCCTACACACAAAGAGAAGGATACATGCACAATAGTAGAGTAGTACATGCTGTGGCTCGTACGTTGGTTTGCGTGCAGCCAGCAGCAACAGCCTGGTTGATCAGGCTCTGATCCACCAGGAGGCCTGGTCTCAGACCGGGCCGCGGGGGCGTTGACCCCCGGAACTCTCTCCAGGTAAACTCCAGGTAAATGAAGAATAAATGACACTTACCTTTATTGAAGATGCAGCAATGACTGATGAGACACTGTGTCCTGAGAGTGCCTTTTCCTCCTGAGTACTGTAGGTCCTGTTTGGCATTTTCTTCCAGAACAGGCCTTATCACACTGTGTATGCCACTACGATTCTTAAATCTCTCAAACCAACCTTTGCTGGCTTTAAATTCACCAGTATGAGCACTAGTTCCAGACATTTTTCCCTGTTCACCTGGGTGTTAGTCGACTGGTGTGGGTTGCATCCTGGGAGACAAGATTAAGGACCCCAATGGAAATAAGTTAGACAGTCTTCGATGACACTGACTTTTTTGGGTTATCCTGGTGGCAAATCCTCTGGGGTTAATTGTTTCTTGGTATTCTCAATAAGCCACACCAACAACGGTGCTACAGCAGCAGCAGCAGCTGACGGTGGTACAACAGCAGCAGCAGCTGACAGTGCAGCAGCAGCTGACGGTGGTACAACAGCAGCAGCAGCTGTACCACCAATAGTAGCGATGGTTGATTGGGGTTTATTATACAACCTGGCCAGCTCGGAGACACGCACTCCACTTTCATACTTATCAATGATCTTTTTCTTCATCTCTATAGTAATTCTCACCCTTATTGCTGTAGGGTTGGCACTAGAAGCTTTCTTGGGGCCCATGGTCACTTATTTTCCAGAAAAAATCACCAAAAACACTGTAATAATACGAAATGTTCCGATTGTATGCTTGGATGTTACCGCGGAGGCTGGCTGGTAAACAATGCCACCGGCGGAACATGTGAGCGTGGCTCAGGCCGCACATTGGACGCGTCTCGGACGAAGAGCGGTGAGCGGCTTTTTGGGCGGTATGCGAGGCAAAATTTTTGCGAAAAAAGCGAGCGGTATGCGGATTGTACGGTATGCGATGTGTGCGGTATGCGGGGGTCCACTGTAGTATGCTCCTCACTTAGTGACGAATTCGTTTACTGACGTGGTCTAGGAACAGAACTTTGTTGTTAACCCTTTGACTGTCGCAACCCCAAATCCTGAGGTGTCTCCTGGTGTCGCAAAATTTCCAAAAAAAAAAAGAATATTTTTCTTATGAAATGATAGATAATCTTTTCCCGATTGTAATGACACCAAAAGAACGAAATTTGATGGAAAACTGATGAATTACGCTCTCGCGAAGTTAGCGACCTCGGCAGTATTTACGAATTGGCGATTTCGCCCACTTTGAGCCCTATTTTCAGTCAATTCCATTTTTCCAGTCAACCAAACTCATAGCTGTTTCTTTAGAATCTATTTTTTCTATCGATTGAGTACAAGAAACTGTCCATTTACCGATTTCAACTACCCAATAACGTGATCAGAAATTTGCAATTTGGCCAATTTCACGAAAATGAAAAAAATATGACAATTTCAAAATAGGGTCCAGAATGAACAGTGCAGACATTCCTGGCTCTAAAATAACATTTTCTTTGTTCATCAGTCACGTCTCTAGGCCCCTCTGATATTACTCTTGCTTTCTATTTTGAATTTTTATTCAAACAAAAAATAGAAGATTTACTGTTATGCAGACTACTGCAATATTGTAATAATTGTATAAATAATGTCAACCCATTCATGACTGCATATTAGAATGGCTTCTTGGACATTTATTGGAATATGACATCATTTGTTTACTTTTGAACATCGGCAAAAATCAAACATTTCCCCCACTTTGAGCTCCATTTCAAGGTTCTTTTGATAGTAAAACCAGTCAAAATCACTTGTATTTCTATAATATTTTCCATTTTATCAAATGAGACCAAGAAAACGAGAATACAACCATAAATGTTATATGAAAATAGACCACAAAGTCAGCATATTAATTAAAAAAAAACAGTCAGAGTTTTTTTTTTCTCATTATGCACTGTGTGCTGCAGGATTTTTTTTATATGGTGCACACTGACCACACAGACCCATTCTCTCACATGTGGGCCTACCAGCTTTCTCCTGTTTGATTTGAAGCCGCTAGAATTTATGAGTAGATGTACGTCAAACACTGTGGCTCGTAAGACGTATATATACGACCTAAACAGTCAATGGGTTAAGTGAGGAGAGGCTGTATATGATGTTTGTATGCATAATTGAAGATATTACATTCCTGGAACACTATATTTGGTTAAGAAAAAGATATAATATGTGTAACATTTTTCTTAGGCTAAGTCAACTTTTGAGATGGAACGAGAGAAGGCACTCAAGGTGATTGAAACTCTAGAAGATGCTAATATAAGTGAGAGGCCATGGTACTTACGTGGAGAGGCTTTAAGTACTGACCGTCCAGAAAACTCTGCACTGGAGGAGCATATGGAATATGATATAGTTGCAAGGCAAAGTAAGTTCATTTAACTTGAAAATTTATGCTAAATGATTATATTCTTTCTAGGTAGTAGGTTGGTAGACAGCAACCGCCCAGGGAGGTACTACCGTCCTGCCAAGTGAGTGTAAAACGGAAACCTGTAATTGTTTTACATGATGGTAGGATTGCTGGTGTCTTTTTTCTGTCTCATAAACATGCAAGATTTCAGGTACGTCTTGCTACTTCTACTTACATTTAGGTCACACTACACATACATGTACAAGCATTTATATACACACCCCTCTGGGTTTTCTGCTATTTTCTTTCTAGTTCTTGTTCTTGTTTATTTCTTATTTCCATGGGGAAGTGGAACAGAATTCTTCCTCCGTAAGCCATGCATGTTGTAAGAGGCGACTAAAATGCCGGGGGCAAGGGGCTAGTAACCCCTTCTCTTGTATAAATTACTAAATTTAAAAAGAGGAACTTTCGTTTTTCTTTTTGGGCCACCCTGCCTCAGTGGGATATGGCTGGTTTGTTGAAAGAAGAAAGATTATATTCTTAAGAATAAAAGTCACAGTAGCATGGCTGGAACAGTTCACAAGTAACCCACAACTAGGGAAACTTTAAACAGTGTTTTGCTCTATCCTAGATCATTATCAGGTGAGATAGAAGACCAGATGACTGGTTGGGAGGTAGTAGTGTGCTCATATAGTAGTATGCTGCTACTAATACTGCTACTGCAAACCCTTTCCCTTCCTCTTCCCTTTCTTTCTCCTCATCTTCTTTCTTTTCTTTTCACCCCCACCTTCACAGCCTGTCTTTCTATCTTCTCAGTATTTTTATTTTTTTTCTTTGTTATTCATTTCTGCTTTCTCCTTTATAAATTTTGGTTGGGGTTATCCTCAGCCTTCCCACATTATATCTTAGTACAAGTACATTGTGCATGTTTTAAATAATTCAGTCAAACTGCACATGATTTTTTCTTTTGCTAGCAAACATGTTCAGTGCTCTTTCAAAATATTTAAAATTTTTAGGTGGCAGATAAATGTCTGGAAGATTATGCAATTTTGCATAAGGCCCTACCTTTAATCTTAATGATTCACATGTAGTTGATAGGCTGTAAATCTAATGCACCTTTAAGAAAGAGAGATGTTGATGGGAATGGTTTGTCATGAATAATGTAAAATTTTTTAACACACTGGCCATCTCCCAACAAGGCAGGGTGACCCAAAAAAGAAACACTTTCACCATCATTCCCACCATCACTGTCTTGACAGAGGTGCACAGATCTTTCTTTCTTTCAACACACCGGCCGTATCCCACCAAGGCAGGGTGGTTCAAAAAGAAAAACGAAAGTTTCTCTTTTAAATTTAGTAATTTATACGGGAGAAGGGGTTACTAGCCCCTTGCTCCCAGCATTTTAGTCGCCTGTTACAACACGCATGGCTTATGGAGGAAGAATTCTGTTCCACTTCCCCATGGAGATAAGAGGAAATAAACAAGAACAAGAGCTAGAAAGAAAATAGAAGAATACCCAGAGGGGTGTGTATATATATGCTTGTACATGTATGTGTAGTGTGACCTAAGTGCAAGTAGAAGTAGCAAGACATACCTGAAATCTTGCATGTTTATGAGATAGACAAAAGACACCAGCAATCCTACCATTATGTAAAACAATTACAGGTTTTCATTGTACACTCACTTGGCAGGATGGTAGTACCTCCCTGGGCAGTTGCTGTTTACCAACCTACTACCTAGGAGGTGCACAGATATGACAGTCAAATGTCCTCCTAACAGCAAATATCCAAACCCCTCCTTGAGAGTGCAGGCTCTCTACTTCCCTCCTCCAGGACTCAAGTCTTGCTCATGCTTCAACAGTTTGTCAGTTGCCTAAAAACCACTTATCTCCACTCAGCTCCTATCTAACATGTTTAATTATACACTAATTTTGGTGTTTTCAGAGTTTGATGCTCTTTATTGAAGCAGTTTGTTTTCCTCTTCAAGTTTGCATGTAGATTTTCACCAAAATATTTATCATTTGTGACAGGTAAATTTTGCTATAATTGTTATAAATATGCTGTTTACTTTCAGAACCAGTTATCACTGAAGATACAACCTCACAAATTGAAAAAATAATCATGAATCGCATCCGCATTAAGGCCTGGGATGACGTCGAACGGAAAGTGAAACAAACACAGGATCCCTATGAGTTTAAAAAGAAGCTGCTTCTTGATCAAGAGAAGAATAAGAAGAGTTTAGCTGAGATATATGAAGAAGTAAGTTTTAGAGTTAGTTATTAAATGAAATAGTAACAAGTGTATGTGTAAAATAAGGGTGAAGCAATGAATTTCTGAAAGATTGAAGTAAGCAGATACAGACCAAAGGTAAAAATGTAGAGTAAAATGTGATGAGGGTGTGAAGAGACATCAAGAGATGGTGTGGAAGAGAGGGTTGCTCATGATCCAGTCTGATGTAGGGTTTGATAAGGTATATAAGATGAAAATATTGGAATGGCAAGTAATATTTACTTAGAGTTGTGTGCCTCTTAAGTGGCCTTGATGCTGGTGAGCTCTTTATCCAAGGCATTGGATCTAGCTTTCTTTCCTTGGATCATACCTGATTGTTTACCATTTTCTCAGGGACTGTTTGATCCCTATAAGTTTAATGGGCTGAAGAGGGGTTGTTGAGGTGGTCATTTAGAGTGGATCAAAGTAGAATGACTTGGAGAGCGTATAAATCTGGAGGGGAAGGAAGGCGGGGTAGGAGTCGTCCTTAGAAAGGTTGGACTTCCAGCAAGTGTGTTTGAGTTTGTTAGGTATGAGTAAATGGAGACAAATGGTTTTTGGGACTTGAAGAGCTGTTGGAGTGTGAGCAGGGCAATATTTAGTGAAGGGATTCAGGGAAACCGGTTATTATAGATTTAGCTGGACTTGAGTCCTGGAAATGGAAAGTACAGTGCCTATACTTTAAAGGATGGGTCTGGGATATTGACAGTTTGGAGGGACTTCTAAACTGTCATATCTGAGTGCCTCTGGAAAGACAGTGATTATGTATGAGTAATGTGAAAGTGTTGAATGATGATGAAAGTATTTTCTTTTTGGGGATTTTCTTTCTTGGGTCACCCTGCCTTGGTGGGAGTCAGCTGACTTGTTAAAAAAAAAATAAAAAAAAGTTTAAAGCTTCCCCATCAATGTAATAATAATTTTTAGGCTTTGGGATATTAACCTTTAAACTGTCCAAACATAGATCTACGTTCATTTGCGTAGAACTCCGAACATAGATCTATATTTTTTTACATTTGAAAGCATGTAAAATAAAATGCAGATCTACGTCCGGAGCGCTATGCGAGTGAACGTAGATCTGCGTTTGGACAGTTTAGGGTTAAAGAGCCTACACAGGTACAGAAGCAGTTTCTCTTGTATGTGTGTAGCCACCCATTTGTACTCACTTGTTAGGGGTCACAGGGGTGGATTCTCAGATCCTGACCTTTCCTCTTAACTTGCCTCTCTTCAGATTTAATCCCTCTTAGCCTCGTGGACCCTGTCATACTTCTTAAAACTCTTTTTTTTTTTTTTTTTTTTTTTTTTTTTTTTTTTTGTGTGTGTGTGTGTGTGTGTGTGTGTGTGTGTGTGTGTGTGTGTGTGTACTCGTTTATTTGTGGTTGCAGGGGTCAAGTCATAGCTCCTGGCCCTGCCTCTTCACTGATTGCTACTAGGTCCTCTCTCTCCCTTCTCCATGAGCTTTATCAAACCTCGCCTTAAAACTATGTATGGTTCCCGCCTCCACTATGTCACTTTCTAGGCTATTCCATGGCCTGACTACTATATGACTGAAGAAATACTTCCTAACATCCCTTTGATTCATCTGAGTCTTCAACTTCCAATTGTGACCTCTTGTTTCTGTGTCCCATCTCTGGAACATCCCGTCTTTGTCCACCTTGTCTATTCCGTGCAGTATTTTATATGTCGTCGTCATGTCTCCTCTGACCCTCCTGTCTTCCAGTGTCGTCAGGCCGATTTCCCTCAACTTTTCTTCATAGGACAATCCCCTTAGCTCTGGGACTAATCTTGTTGCAAACCTTTGTACTTTCTCTAATTTCTTGATGTGCTTGACCAGGTGTGGGTTACAAACTGGTGCTGCATACTCCAGTATGGGCCAGACGTAAATAGTATACAGAGAGAGTGAGATGTACATGTACGTACTCGCCTATATGTGGTTGCAGGGGTCGAGTCATAGCTCCTAGCCCCGCCTCTTCACTGGTTGATACTAATTCACTCTTTCCTTGCTCTATAATATTTGTCATACCTCTTCTTAAAGCTATTTATGGAACTTGCTTCCACTACTTCACTCTCCAGATTATTCCAGTTCCTGACAACTCTAAGACTAAAGAAATACTTCCTAACATCCCTGTGACTTATCTGGATTTTCAGTTTCCAGTTGTGTCCCCGTGTTTCTGTATCCCATCTCTGAAACATTTGTTCCTTGTCCACGTTGTCAGTGCCTCTTAGTATTTTATAAGTTGTTATCATGTCCCCTCTATCCCTCCTATCTTCTAGTGTCATCAGGTTGAGTTCCCTTAACCTCTCCTCATAAGACATACCCCTCAGTTCTGGGACTAATCATGTTGCAAATTTTTGCACTTTCTTCAATTTCTTGACGTGTTTGACAAAGTGAGGGTTCCATACTGGCGCTGCATATTCCAGTATAGGCCTTACGTACACTGTGTACAATGTCGTGAATGACTCCTTACTCAGATGTCTAAATGCCAATCTCAGGTTTCCCAATCTCCCATATGCTGCAGCAGTTATTTGATTGATGTGTGTGTGTGTGTGTGTGTGTGTGTGTGTGTGTGTGTGTGTGTGTGTGTGTGTAGAGAGGAGAGAAGAGGAGAAGGGTGATCTCTCTCTGTTGTTGGATTTCATTCTATTGTGCTGAAATAGTATTTCCTGATGTGTCTGTGGCTCAACTTGCTGTTCAGTTAAAATTTATCTTTTCTTGTTCTTTATCCTTCTTTGATACATAGCATGACTTTGTTTTCTACAGTCGTGTATTAATGAGAGATCTGGTTTACACAGTCTCTTAGGTTAGTAGTCTCAGCTCTGTGCACATGCTCACCAGAAGGCTGTGCACCAGTGCTTTGTATTCGAGAATTTATTGCACATATGTAAAGTACACATTGTCTGTTAATTTCTTGTTATATTTTGTAACAGTTCTCGGGATCACTGACCCAGAAACCCAGTCTCAGGTCTCGTAAACTGGAAAGAATATATTGCAGAAATACAAATTATTAAGAGCTCAGGAAAGTAAAGATAAGTGCATACAATATCTAAATAGATACTTTTAAGATTAATCTGTCATCTTACATGACAGGTTAATCTTAAAAGTACCAGAACTATCAGAACTATATAAAAGCCATGTCTTGAATTTGATCAGCAAGACAAATGTAAATACAGTGGACCCCTTTTTTTTTTTTTTTTTTTTTTTTAACAAGCCGGCCATCTCCCACCGAAAGAAAATCCCCCAAAAGAAAATACATATACTTCATCATTCAACACTTTCACCTCACTCACACATAATCACTGTTTTTGAAGAGGTGCTCAGAATACAACAGCTTAGAAGCATATACATATAAAAATACACAACATATCCCTCCAAACTGCCAATATCCCAAACCCCTTCTTTAACCCTTTGGGGGTCGACAGGTCCTCTCAGAGACTTGTTCTCAGGGTCAGCCAAATTTCAAAAAAAAAAAAAAAATTATTTTTCACATGAAAAGATAGAGAATCTTTTCCCGATCATAATGACACCAAAAGTATGAAATTTGATGGAAAACTTACGGAATTATGCTCTCGCGAAGTTAGCGGTCTCGACAGTGTTTACGCATCGGCGATTTTGCCCACTTTGAGCCCTATTTTCGGCCAATTTCAGTGTACTAGTCGACAAAAATCATAACTATTTCGCTAGAACTCCATTTTTTCTATCGAATGAGTACAAGAAACCAACCACCCATTTACCGATTTCAACTATCCAATAAAGTGGTCAGAATTTAGCAATTTTGCCAATTTCACACAAATTTCAAAAGATGCCAATTTCTAAATAGGGTCCAGAATAAACAAGAAAGACATTCCTGGCACTAAAATAACAAGTTCTCTGTTCATTAGTCACATCCCCAGGCCCCTCTTATATTTCTTTGCCTTTCCACTTTGAATTTTTATTCTTACAAAAAAAAAAATAAGATTTACTGTTATGCAGACTACTGCATTAGTGTAGAAATGGTATAAATAATATCAGCGCACTTGTGAAAGAATATTAGACTCGCCAGTTGATGTGTATTGGACGCTTGGCATGATTTGTTTACTTTTGAACTATGGTAAAAATCGAACATTTCTGCTACTTTGAGCTCAATTTCAAGGTACTTTTCATTGTAAAACCAGTCAAAATCATCTCAATTTCTGTAATATGTCTTCCATTCTATAAAATGAGACCAAGAAAACTAGAATACAACAATAAATACCATACGAAAATACAGTGCAAAGTCGCTGTTGTAATCCAAAAACACAGTCAAAGTTTTTTCTCATTATGCACTGTGTTCTGCAGGATTCCTTTTATACTGCGCACACTGACCACATAGACCCATTCTTACATATGTAGGCCTACCAGCTTTCTCTCACTAGATTTGGGGGCGCTAGAATTTAGGCGTACTAGTACGTCAAAAACCCTGGGTCGTAAGATGTACTAGTACGTCCGAAACCCCCAAAGGGTTAAAGTGCAGGCATTGTACTTCCTATTTCCAGAACTCAAGTCCGGCTGTATAAAAATAATCACTTTCCCTGAATCCCTTCACTAAATATTACCTGCTCACACTCCAACAAATCGTCAGGTCCCATAAACCATTCGTCTCCATTGACTTCTATCTAACATGCTCATGCACGCTTGCTGGAAGTCCAAGCCTCTCGCCCACAAAACCTCCTTTACCCCATCCCTCCAACCTTTTCGAGGACGACCTCTACCCCGCCTTTCTTCCCCTACAGATTTATACACTCTCCATGTCATTCTACTTTGATCCATTCTCTCTAAACGACCAAACCACCTCAACAACCCCTCTTCTGTCCTCTGACTAATACTTTTATTAACTCCACACCTTCTAATTTCCACACTCCAAATTTTCTGAAAATATTTACACCACACATTGCCCTTAGACAGGACATCTCCACTGCCTCCAACCGTCTCCTCGCTGCAGCATTTACAACCCAAGCTTCACACCCATATAAGAGTGTTGGTACTAATATACTTTCATACATTCCCTTCTTTGCCTCTATAGATAACGTGTTTTTGTCTTCACATTTACCTCGTATAACCCCCGGTTATCATAATTAATCCATTCCAGAGTGAGTGATTGAACCTGAATCTGACGATATCCAAATCCAATTAATCCGTTCCAGACACCCAAAAGTATTAAAAAAAAAATTTTTTTTACATGAAATATACATTTACCTACACAGAAATCAATGAAACATGTAGAATAAAACAATAATAAAATGACACTTACCTTTATTGAAGATTCCTCTTAGTGTATGGAAGACGGGAGGAGGGAAGAGGGTGGAGGAGTTACTATTGTTTGGAAGGGGAATCCCTCCATAAAGACTTCAGGTACCAAGTCCTTTTCTGGGGTTACTTCCCCTCTTTGTTTGTTAATGCCACTAGGACTGTCACTGGACCCCTGTCACTCAAAAAAGTGTTCCAGAGCGGTCTGTATCTTGCGTTTCTTTAAAATTTCCCTAAAATGGGACATGACATTGTCATTGTACATGTTGCCAACACGGCTTGCAACAGCTTTGTCAGAGTGAAGCTCATCCGTAAATGTTTGCACCTCAATCCACTTTGCACAAATGTCCTTAATCTTTGAAGAAGGCACCTTCCTCCATCTCTCTTCCACCTCGTCTGAAGCAGTTTTCTGAGCTGTGGTCTGTTGCTGTTGCTGATGAAGGCCTTGATGCTCTTCAGTGGTTAGCTCTTCATTGTGGTCCTCCTCCAACTCTTCCACATCCTCGCCACTCACATCCAACCCCATGGAATTCCCCAATGCCACAGTACTGTCTACAACTACCATAGGCTCGTCAGGGTCAGCCCCAAACCCTTCAAAATCCCTCTCTTGGACACATTCTGGCCATAGTTTTCTCCAAGCAGAGTTCAAAGTCCTGGAAGTCACTTCCTCCCAAGCCTTAACTATAAGGTTTATGCAGTGGAAGATACTGAAGTGATCTTTCCAGAACTCTCTTAGGGTCAAGTGAGTGTCTGAGGCCACATCAAAGCACCTTTGAAACATTGCTTTGGTGTGCAGTTTTTCGAAGTTTGAAATGACCTGCTGGTCCATGGGCTGGATGAGAGGAGTGGTACTAGGGGGCAAGAACTTCACCGTGATGAAACGAAACTCCTTCACCATTTGCTCTTCCAAGTCTGGAGGATGAGCAGGAGCATTGTCCATTACCAGGAGACACTTGAGTTCCAATTTATTTTCTAGGAGGTATTTCTTCACACTGGGGCCAAACACTTCGTTGAACCAATCAAGGAAAATGTCCCTCGTGACCCATGCCTTACTGTTTGCCTTCCACATCACACACAATTTACTCTTGGCGACATTGTTTTTCTTGAAAACACTGGGATTTTTCAGTGATATACCAGTAAAGGCTTCACTTTGAAATCCCAACTAGTGTTACTACAGAACATGAGAGTTAGCCTGTCTTTCATTGGCTTGTGTCCTGGGAGTGCCTTTTCCTCCTGCATGATGTAGGTCCTCTTTGGCATTTTTTTTTCTTCAAAAGAGGCCTGTTTTGTCACAGTTGAACACTTGTTGGGGTTTGAATTGTTCAGCCTCTATGTACCCCTTGAATTCCTGAACATATTTTTCAGCCGCATATTTGTCAGAGCTTGCAGCCTCGCCATGCCTTACCACATTGTGTATGCCACTGTGCTTCTTAAATTTTTCAAACCAGCCTTTGCTGGCCTTAAAATTGTGTATGCCACTGTGCTTCTTAAATCTTTCAAACCAGCCTTTGCTGGCCTTAAAATCACTAACGTCAGCACTAGTTCCAGGAATTTTCTTTATGAGATCATCATGCAACTGCCTTGCCTTTTCACAAATTATCGACTGCATAACATTAGCTATACAACCTGGTTAGCTCTGCCACACGCACTCCACTTTCATATTTTGCAATGATGTCTTTCTTAAATTCTATAGTGTTTCTCACCTTTACCAAAGGGCTAGCACTAGAAGCTCTCTTTGGGTCCATGGTGGCTTATTTAGCAGTTGCAAGCACTAAAAAGAATAGAATACACCTACCATCCGACTTACGACCTGCTCGACATATGACCATTCGACTTACGACCGTGTTTTCTATGCCAAATTTCTGGGAAATAAACAACTGTTTGTGTTGTACACAGTGTTTATCCTAAACCTTACAGTATAAAATACAGTACTAACAGCATAAAAAGTGAAATAAAAAATGAAATACCAAAATAAAACAATAAAATAAAGTCATTACAAAAATGTGATGTTGATGTTCAGTAGTAAGATTCGACTTATGTCCATTTCGACTTACGACTGGTTTGTCGGAACCGAACTCGGTCGTAAGTTGAATGGTACCTGTAATACGAAATGTATAGTATGAATGTGCGGGATCGTCCTCACTGGCTGATGAACAATGGCACACTGGCTGTAAATGGTGTGTCAGACCACTGTCGCCACACGGACATGTTCAGGATGGATGACTATTACCGAGCTCAGTGATGATTACTGAGCCAATATTTTGCCGAAAAAACGTTACGATTTCCGAACATTACGAAATCCGATGACTACGAAATCTGGGGGTCCACTGTAGTAAAGTTGACCATAAAGTAATTGTTTAGCAGCAGAAATAGTTCAGAATTCTAGAGAGATGTACTTGAATTTTTAGTCATTAAATTACTTTCTGAGGAGAAGCATTCTGGGGTACAAGTGAACAATTTATCCTGCCTCTCATTGGCCATGTAATTACTTGATGCTATTAAAGCTGATTACAGACTTTGACCCTTTCTTGTGTGAAGGTATCAAACATTATAGTAATGTTGACTCAGGAAGTATTACTTAATTGCCTAAACTTACTTGTTATGAATATATTAATTGAAAGTTATTGGAGTTAAATTTTTTAAGATGAGTTTACTGAGACAAACTGCTAAATATTACTCTTTTGGTGTAGACTCTGCATCTGAAATTTCACAAGTAGATGAATTATCCTTTATTATCAGTTATGTTTATGATGGTAGGAATTCCACAGAGAAATTCTTGGGTGTTTTTTAAAAACCCAGAATACAAGGCTCAGGATTTATTCAAATCTGTGACCAGTTCATTGGAAAGTTGCAAAATTGCCAATCAGAACTGTCATGGACAGTCATATATATGACAATGCCAGTAATATGTCTGGTCCTCATTTCAGCCTCCAAGATGAGATCAAATAAAAGGAGCCCTTAATTATGTATATTCCATACTTAGGGTATGCCTTCAATCTTGCAAGAAAGTGTGTAACAGAATGCTGTACTGAAATATAGTTTTATTATTTGGAACTCTTAAGATGTACAGCTTTTTTCTTGGATCCATATATGTATCTCATTTTGCATGTAATACTTTCAAGAGATAATGAATTATTACATGATCTGAATGTGAAGAGGCAGTCAAGAAAAACGAAATCTTTGAAAGATATAATAATGGAGTGTGATATATAAATATATGTAATTTGGGAGGAGTAGGAGGGTAGAGAGTGAGAGTGAGTGAGAGTGAGTGAGAGTGAGTGAGAGTGAGAGTGAGTGAGTGAGAGTGAGTGAGTGAGAGTGAGTGAGAGTGAGTGAGTGAGAGTGAGTGAGAGTGAGTGAGTGAGAGTGAGTGAGAGTGAGTGAGAGTGAGTGAGTGAGAGTGAGTGAGAGTGAGAGTGAGTGAGAGTGAGAGTGAGTGAGAGTGAGTGAGTGAGAGTGAGTGAGAGTGAGAGTGAGAGTGAGTGAGAGCGAGAGAGAGTGAGTGAGTGAGTGAGTGAGTGAGTATGAATGATGGGGAGTCTTTGCTTAGGTTTGGGATATTGAGTATGATAATGGAGAGTTAGAATTTTGGTGGAAGATGTGACTTAACTCTGGGAAAAGGGGACAACATATTTGTATATATCAAGAAGGCTGGAGGTTTTTGTATAAAGGAGTTAACATAATTTGTTATAGGGATGTTTTATGAATTGTTCTGGCTTGTTCTGATTATCTGCCATTAACTTTAGATTGTCATTGATATTTTAAAACAATTCACATTTGTTAGTATAGACATTTACTAGAACCTTGTATGCATTAAATATATTGACAAGGAGTATTTTTGTTTCTGTTGGATATTTTACCAATATTTTATAATTTCATAGGAATATGTGAAGCAGCAAAAGAAGGGTGAGCAAGAAGAGGAAGAGCTTCAGGAACACAAGGAGATAAAAGAGAGGATGGATAAATTATTTATGAAGCTTGATGCCCTTGCCAACTACCATTACACACCCAAACAGGTATTTTATTTTTATTTAAATACACTACAGTGTGAGTGCCGGCAAGTAAAAAAAAAGAAGTGGAAAATTTGAGTGGAAAGAGCAGTCTGATACCTAAATAACATTGATGTTCTGTAATCTTAATTCATTTTGTTTTTATGTGAATTCAAGCTGCAGATTGCATCTTACATGTGCAATAATTATTCCATAATCTTTTCCTGTGTCTTAAGAGTAATATATATTTTAGACTTGTGCAGAGGTGAAGATCCAGAGTAACTTGCCAGCTATTAATGTGGAGGAAGCCACTCCTGTAACAGCCAGTGATGCCACACTTCTAGCTCCTCAAGAAATACTAGGTGAGATTTTAATGTGTGTATAAATCTTTTAATAGTGTACAGTCATTTGTCACTATGACTGGGATGCATTCTGAGAAATGAGTCTTTAGACAATTTCATTGTTCTGCAAATATCATCAAGTGTTCTTACACAAACCTAGATGGCATGGCCTACTACACACCTAGGCTATATAGCTTGTTTGATTTTTTCATCATAGATTTGCTTGTAAACAGAAAATGCACCAAAACAACACAAGATTAAATCAAGCACAAGAACTGAAGCTGTCATGAAACGGAGTAAACACAAGATATATGAGGCTGTGGCTTGCGTAACATGACATGCTGTTTTGCGGTAAACTTTTTCTTTATGAGTAGAAAAAGTACACTCTAGAACAGCGTTTCTCAACCATTTTTACCTTTGCAGGTCCCTTGAAATAATTTTCATGTCTCGGGGGAACTCCTACATAAAAATAATTATGTATCACTATTAATATCTTTCTTCCTCATTTATAAGCTTAAAGTTCATAAGGAAAATGTAATAAAATTTTTCTGATAATCAGTATAACAAAAAATAACTTTAGTTTTTCCCAAGTTTAGTGACAATGCAAAAAAAAAAAAAAAAAAATTGAAATCAAACTGCTTGTTCAAGAGACCTCATACAGAGGTTTTCATTCATACCAAAAAATTAACCATATCTGTAAACAGAAAAACAAAAATAAATAACCATTATCATATATAACACATATAAACAGAACAAAAACTGATAATAACTACTACAATAACTTAATCATTTATTGACAATACTGAAAAGACATAAGATAAATCAAGGCAAAATGTCATATGAACAAATATATAAGTCAAGGGAAATGTTATTTTTGAAGCCAATTTAGATAATGAAATTAACTTCTCTAATGTGAAACTTGTGGTTGTCTTTTGGTACACAAATACATAATTCACACTGGTGCTGTATAGACCTCGCTAAATATATTCCCTATGATTATTTTTTTTTTTAACAAGTTGGCCGTCTCCCACCGAGGCAGGGTGACCCAAAATGAAAGAAAATCCCCAAAAAGAAAATACTTTCATCATCATCATTCAACACTTTCACCTCACTCACACATAATTACTGTTTTTGCAGAGGTGCCCAGAACACAACAGTTTAGAAGCATATACGTATAAAGATACACAACATATCCCTCCAAACTGCTAATATCCCGAAACCCCTCTTTTAGAGCTCAGGCATTATACTTCCCATTTCCAGGACTCAAGTCTGGTTGTATAAAAATAACCAGTTTCCCTGAATCCCTTCACTAAATATTACCCTGCTCACACTCCAACAGATCGTCAGGTCCCAAATACCATTCATCTCCATTCACTACTATCAAACACACTCATGCACGCCTGCTGGAAGTCCAAGCCCCTCACCCACAAAACCTCCCTTACCCCTTCCTTCCAACCTTTTCGAGCACGACCCCTATCACACCTGCCTTCCCCTACAGATTTAAATGCTCTCCATGTCATTCTACTTTGATCCATTCTTTCTAAATGACCAGACCACCTCAACAACCCTTCTTCAGCCCTCTGACTAATACTTTTATTAACTCCACTCCTTCTCCTAATTTCCACACTCCGAATTTTCTGCATAATATTTACACCACACATTGCCCTTAGACAGGACATCTCCACTGCCTCCAACCGCCTCCTCGCTGCTGCATTCACAACCCAAGCTTCACACCCATATAAGAGTGTTGGTACTAATATACTTTCATACATTCCCTTCTTTGCCTCCATAGATAATGTTTTTTGTCTTGACATATACCTCAATGCACCACTCACCTTTTTTCCCTCATCAATTCTATGATTAACCTCATCCTTCATAAATCCTTCTGCCGACACATCAACTCTCAAATATCTGAAAACATTCACTTCTTCCATACTCCTCCTCCCCAATTTGATATCCAATACTCAAATAACCCGCACATAAAAGAGAGAAGCTTACGACGACGTTTCGGTCTGACTTGGACCATTGACAGTCACATTAACCAGAAGTGGGGCAGGACGGCTATATATAGGCAGGAAGAGGTGGTGGTAGTAGTAGTACAGGAATGGTATATAATACCAACAAGATGAAATTAAGACACATGCGCAACACCCGGGCATCCCTATCGTAGACGTTTCGCCATCCAGCCAGCCACTGGATGGCGAAACGTCCACAACAAAGACAACCAGACGCCGCACATATGTCTTAATTTCATCAGTAGTTGTAGTAGTAGTAGTAGTAGTAGTAGTAGTAGAAGAGGTAGTAGTAGTTATGTTTCTTTATCTAAATAATTTGATACCCTCATCACCTTACTCTTTTCTATGTTCACTTTCAACTTCCTACCTTTACACACACTCCCAAACTCATCCACTAACCTTTGCAATTTTTCTTTAGAATCTCCCATAAGCACAGTATCATCAGCAAAAAGCAACTGTCAATTCCCATTTTGTATTTGATTCCCCATAATTTAATCCCACCCCTCTCCCAAACACCCTAGCATTTACTTCTTTTACAACCCCATCTATAAATATATTAAACAACCATGGTGACATTACACATCCCTGTCTAAGACCTACTTTTACCGGGAAGTATTCTCCCTCTCTTCTACACACCCTAACCTGAGCCTCACTATCCTCATAAAAGCTCTTTACAGCATTTAGTAACTTACCACCTATTCCATGTACTTGCAACATCTGCCACATTGCTCCTCTATCCACTCTATCATATGCCTTTTCTAAATCCATAAATGCAATAAAAACTTCCCTACCTTTATCTAAATACTGTTCACATATATGCTTCAATGTAAACACTTGATCTACACATCCCCTACCCACTCTGAAGCCTCCCTGCTCATCCGCAATCCTACATTCTGTCTTACCTCTAATTCTTTCAATTATAACCCTACCGTATACTTTTCCTGGTATACTCAGTAAACTTATTCCTCTATAATTTTTACAATCTCTTTTGTCCCCTTTCCCTTTATATAAAGGGACTATACATGCTCTCCACCAATCCCTAGGTACCTTCCCCTCTTTTATACATTTATTAAACAAAAGTACCAACCACTCCAACACTATATCCCCCCCTGCTTTTAACATTTCTGTCATGATCCCATCAGTTCCAGCTGCTTTACCCCCTTTCATTCTACGTAATGCCTCACGTACCTCCACCACACTTACATTCTGCTCTTCTTCACTCCTAAAAGATGGTATACCTCCCTGGCCAGTGCATGAAATTACCGCCTCCCTTTCTTCTTCAACATTTAAAAGTTTCTCAAAATATTCTCTCCATCTACCTAATGCCTCCCTCTCCCCATCTACTAACTCCCCTACTCTGTTTTTAACTGACAAATCCATACTTTCCCCAGGCTTTCTTAACTTGTTTAACTCACTCCAAAAATTTTTCTTATTTTCATTAAAATTTCTTGACAGTGCCTCTCCCACTCTTTCATCTGCTCTCCTTTTGCACACTCTCACCACTCTCTTCACCTTTCTTTTACTCTCCATATACTCTGCTCTTCTTATAACACTTCTGCTTTGTAAAAACCTCTCGTAAGCTACCTTTTTCTCTTTTATCACACCCTTTACTTCATCATTCCACCAATCACTCCTCTTTCCTCCTGCCCCCACCCTCCTATAACCACCCAGGGAGGTGCTACCGTCCTGCCAAGTGAGTGTAAAACAAAAGCCTGTAATTGTTTTACATGATGGTAGGATTGCTAGTGTCTTTTGTCTGTCTCATAAATATGCAAGATTACAGGCATGTCTTGCTACTTCTACTTACACTTAGGTCACACTACACATACATGTACACGTTTATTTATACACACTCACCTGAGTTTTCTTTGATTTTATCTTAATAGTTCTTGGTCTTATTACTTTTCCTTTTATATCCATGGGGAAGTGGAATAAGAATCTTTCCTCCGTAAGCCATGCGTGTTGTAAAAGTCAACTAAAATGCCGGGAACAATGGGCTAGTAACCCCTTTTCCTGTAAAGATTACTAAAAAGAATAAGAAGAAAATTGCCAAATTATTATTGTTATTATCATTATTAATATGGCGTCTTCAAGACCAAGTACACTCTTAATGAGTGGCTCTGAGACAGACAAGCAGACAAAGACAGACACACAGGTAGACAGAAAGACAGACACACAGGTAGACACAGACACAGGTAGACATAAAGACAGACACAGGTAGACAGAAAGACACACTAGTAGACAGATAAACAGACACACACAGATACAGACAGATATACAGGCAGACAGATACAGACAGGTTTATGTGCAACAGTGAAAACAAATAGAGAGTTCGAGAGTAAGAGCCTTTGTTGCCACAGTCTCCAGTGCAAGATTCAGACTTCATCTTAGGGGCCATGGTGAAATTTACTACTGTCCAGTTAGTACAGTTAATACAGTATGATGCTGCTGATAGGGCAGGGTTACTCAAACTGATGCTGCCTGCATGACACATTGCCGCCGTGAGTATTGTCAAATATTGTACAGCAGTGTGCATCAGCCGGCCCAGCCCAGTCCAGCACGGTCGTAAGTCGAGTGGACGTATGTCGAGCAGGTCGTAAGTCGGATCGTAGGTGTGCATGTACATACATTAAGTTGCATTTTTTCATTTTATTGTCAAAAAAATGTTAATGTATAGATTTTTTTTGTGGGCACTATATTTAGGTGTGCATTGTGGTCTGAGAGCCTGTCGTAAGTCCGAGTCGTTGGTAAACGATTACGTCGCTAAGTGAGGAGAGGCTGTACTCTCGAATTTTCCAAGAATATGCCGTACGTGTATAGTAAAATTGCGAATATAAAAATTAAATACAAAAATGACTCAAAAATGAATTTATATATGATTAGCCTATTTATCATTGTTTCTCTCGGAACCCCTAGTGACTGCTTGCAGAGCTGTAGAGTTCTGGGGAACCCTGGTTGAGAAATGCTACTCTAGAATAACGATAAAAAGTCCACTACAGTAAATACATAAACCAGTAACATAGTTGTTTATTTTCATCATCAAGTATTATGTACTGTACATAATTGTACACGTTATTTTTTTATACAGTTGACAGCGCAGTAGGTTTATTTACACCACGATTGTATATGCGGTTCATCATTGACTGAAATGTTGTTATGTGGCGCATGAGTATACCATAGGTTGAGGTTTAGTGACCAAATTTATACTTTTCAGGGGTTCCCTGAAAAGTGTTTCCTATCTTGCACTTTATTCCAGCTTGTTAGGTACATCAAGGTCAAAACTACATGCAGTAACTATATTCCTCATTAAATATGCAAGTGAAATTAATAATACCAAGTACTTGAAAACTAATTTATTTTAGTGTTCAAAGGACAGAAATTGCTAGTCACAGCCTTAGGTATTGTTATTGGTATCGGCCTAAAATTGAGTATTAGTATCTTCAAAAAATTTGGCCTTGTCCCATCTCTAATTAGTACATGTTTGTTCTGTATTAATTTTGTGTTGTATTATGACAGAGCCTGTTCATGGCGAGCTAAGAGGGAAAACCGAGTACACAAGCACAGATAAAAAGCGTGACCGCCGGGTAAAGAAATCTCACCAGAAGAAAAGGTCCAAGTTGCAGCAGAAGAAGTTGCAAGAGAAGTTGAAAAAAGCTGGAACAGATGGAAAGTTAGACGCAAAATCCACAATGAAAGTCATAGAAAAGGCTGTTAAATCAGGACAAGTGAAAATGGTAAGTGTTTTGTATTTAAATGTTAACCTTTGGTAAGTTAATCTTAATTATTAGAGAGGATATAAAATGTAATACTGGATCTTGAAGAACATTGTTTAGCTCATTAACTCAGCCATTTCCGCTTTCTCTGAATTTGCATGGAACCCTTCAATATCAGGAGCAGTGCCTGTATTATGACAGTTGGCAAACATTGGCAATCCTCAGTATAGGTGTATTTAAACTTTCCTGGGATTGCAGAGTGTGATGAAATGCATGTTTAACGAAGTCTTTCTGAAATGTTTTGTAGGTTATAATTTCTTTAAACTCCATGGGAAAAGTGGAGAAGAATCCTTCCTGTGTAAGCCATGTGTGTTATAAGAGGTGACTAAAATGCCAGGAGCAAGGGACTAGTAACCCCTCCTGTATATTTTTTTTTTTTTTTACACGTCTGCCGTTTCCTGCCGAAGCAGTGTAAATTACTAAATGCAAAAAGAAGAAAAACTTTTGTTTCTTCATATTTGGGTCGCCCTGCCTCAGTGGGAGATGGTTGGTGTGTTAAAAAATTTTTCTTTAAAACTTAGAAAGTCATGCAATACTGTAGCAATATTTTATTTTCAAACTTCTAAGTACTCCTGGATCTGTGGGCTGGATAGAGGACATGCTGCAGTTAAGTGGCATGTACAGGAGGGTCCCGTTCATATAGCTCTAAATGTTGTATCATTCATCCTTCCCTTACACATTTGTTGCATGAAAATGGCGATAATGGTGGAGCACCGGTAAAACCATCAAGCATAGTGAACAATTGCTCAGTTGAAAGCCAACAGAATCGTGGAACAGAGAAAATAGGTGTTGTATATACAGGGCATGTAAGAAAATGTTGTTTGAACTTTTTCTTTTTAATGAGTGGGTGATCATAAGAGTCATCAGGTAGCAGCTAATTATTACACTCTTTAGGAGACTGGCTATCTTGTAGTATTTTCTGGCCTCATGTACAAAATATTTTTCAATAGATATGAGTGAGTGGAGGCAAATGGTTTTTGGGACTTGAGGAGCTCGTAGAGTGTGAACCTAGGTATCATTTTGTGAAGGGATTCACGAAAACTGGAGAGCTGGACTTGAGTCCTGGAGGTAGGAAGTACAGTGCCTGCACTCTGAAGGAGGGATGACAATATTTGCAGTTTGGAGGGGCAGCTGAACTGTAGTATTGACATACCTCTTGCAAGGCAGCAATAGTGAATGATAGTGAAATATTATATATTTTATAGTATATATTAGTAGTATATGTTGAGTAAGATGAAATGATTAACATAAATTTTTGGCACAAGTATTTATTGACTGAGGCCATCTCCTGTTTTTATAGCCATTGTTTTTAAGCAGGTTTTATGGAACCTGTTTATAATGTTAAAAGAAGGTTGCCTGCATAGCATACTTAGTTTCTCACTACTGCATTTACGTGGTCTTCCATTGATGATCTGCTGTCTGTCAGTTATTTTCAAGATTTTATCAGTCAGTCTATAATCATTTCCTTTGTTTACATATTCTTGTAGGACAGGTTTTATAGTCATTCTGATTTCCTACCTTGCACTAGACTTTTGCCTCTGCAAAAATCCACATTGTTCTTCATTCCTTCTGGCAGATCATTTGTATACATAAGATTAAAATTGTTATTATAGTAATTACTGATCTCGATAGAACCTCACTAGTGCTATTTTCATATGAGGGAAATTTTCTTGTCTGTGTTCATATATGGTTGTTTTCACTGTACTGTATATTATTTTTTTAATACACCAGCTGTCTCCTACTGAGGCAGGGTAATCTGAAAAAAAGAAATGCTTTCATAAAGCTTTTCTTTGTTTGACATTTGGTAATTTATACAGGAGAAGGGGTTATTATCTTCTTGTTCTCAGGTTTTTAAGTCACCTCTTACGACACACACAGTTTACAGAGGAAGGATTCTTCTCCACTTCCCCATGGAGTGCACCGTATGTGTCTACGTAATTTGTTTTTATGCGTGTTTTACTACTTTGTTTATTTTCACAGTTGGAGGGGAAGCAGCACAACGTAGTCAGGTCTTCACAAACATTCTTCAAGAAGCTGGAAGAAGACACTGTTCAAAAATTACAAGAGAATAAAAATCAACATAGTAGGAAGAAAAGAATAGAGCACAAATCTGTTTCTAAGCTTTTATTGTAATTTTATTGTTGGATGTGTATTAAATTTCATACAGTTTCTCCCTCACTTTAATCATGTATTCTGTATATTCCTATTTCAAATAAAGCTTTTTAGTATTTCTTCTTTTTGTCATATGAAGTGTTTGGATTCTTTCAGGATCTGGATCCCATTTTAACTTCTTTGCAATCTGGGAAAGGTATCCAAGGGCTTTATTCCATATACCCAGGCCCTTCTATCTTGATGAATGCTAAAGAAAACTAGTAGTGGTGGACGATGATAAAATTCTAATTCAGCAAAATATACGATTATGTACACATTTGTGTGTATGTATATATGTATGTATGTACTCAGTTAGCAAGACTTAGAGTCCTGAAAGTTGGAAGTACAGGAGGGGTTTGGGATATTTGCTGTTTGGAGGGACATCTGAACTGTTGTATCTGCACGCCTCTGGCAAGACAGTGACAGTGTATATGATGAAAGTGTTTCTTCTTCAGGTCACCCTACTTTGGTGGGAGACGGCCAGCATGTTAAAAAAAATGTATGTGTGGGCATATTAAATTTAAAAAGATTTTTTTTTTTTTTAGGCCACCCTGCCTTCGAGGGATATGGTTGGTTGGTTGAAAAAAAAAGCATGCATGTGTATATGTATGTAAGTACATGCATACACTTGAATATGCATATGTATTCATGCATTTTGTATTTATGTACATACACTGTATATTCACTGTTGTGTATACTTTGAATACATATACTCAGCAGTAGAGTTATTATTATTGAAAACATTATAGTTACAACAGAGAGTAGGATCACAGAGAAACAAGGAGGTTTTAGGAAGGGTAGCAGATGTGTTGACCAAGCATTTACATTGAAGTGAGCAGTGCTTAAATAAAGGTAAGGAACTTTTCATTGTATTTATGGATTGAGAACAGGCATATGATAGGGTAGATAAGAACAGTGTGGCAGATGTTGCAAGTGTTTAGAATAGGTGGTAGGTTACCTAACCCTTTGACTGTTTCAGTCGTATATATACGTCTTACGAACCACCGTGTTTGACGTATATATACTCATAAATTCTAGCGGATTCAAATCAAGCAGGAGAAAGCTGGTAGGCCCACATGTGAGAGAATACGTCTGTGTGGTCAGTGTGCACCATATAAAAAATATCCTGCAGCACGCAGTGCATAATGAGAAAAAAAACACGAACGTTTTATTTAATTAAAATGCCGACTTTGTGGTCTATTTTCGTATAGTATTTATGGTTGTATTCTCGTTTTCTTGGTTTCATTTGATAGAATGGAAAACATATTATAGAAATAGAGGTGATTTTGATTGGTTTTATTATGAAAAAACCTTGAAGTGGAGCTCAAAGTCGGGGAAATGTTTGATTTTTGCCAATGTTCAAAAGTAAACAAATGATGTCATTTTCCAATAAATGTCCAAGTAGCCATTCTAATATGCAGTCATGAATGGGTTGACATTTATACAATTATTACAATATTGCAGTAGTCTGCATAACAGTAAGTCTTCTATTTTTTGTTTGAATAAAAATTCAAAATAGAAAGCAAGAGTAATATCAAAGAGGCCTGGAGATATGACTGATGAACAAAGAAAATGTTATTTAGAGCCAGGAATGTCTGCATTGTTCATTCTGGACCCTATTTTGAAATTGTCATATTTTTTAATTTTCGTAAAATTGGCCAAATTGCAAATTTCTGACCACGTTATTGAGTAGTTAAAATCAGTAAATGGGCAGTTTCTTGTGCTTAATTAATAGAAAAAATTGAGTTCTAAAGAAATAGCTATGAGTTTGGTCGACTGGAACAATGGAATTAGCCAAAAATAGGGCTCAATGTGGGCAAAATCGCCGATTCGTAAATATCACCGAGGTTGCTAACTTTGCGAGAGTGTAATTCCGTCAGTTTTCTATAAAATTTTGTTCTTTTGGTGTCATTACAATCGGGAAAAGATTCTCTATCATTTCAAAAGATTTTTTTTTTTTCAGAAATTTTGCAACACCAGGAGACACCTCAGGATTTGGGGTTGCGGCAGTCAAGGGGTTAAAGCAGTTAACAATTTTCTGAGGATATCAAGGCTCAGGTTAGGCCATGTAGGAGAGAGGAAGATTATATTTCAGTAAAAATAGGCCTTAGGGATGTGTGATGTTACCATGGTTGTGTAACATTTATAGAAGGGGTTCTTAAAGAAGTGAAAGCTAGGGGTGTTGGGGAGAGGTGGGATTAAAAGATGAAGAATATAAAAAAGAGTGTGAGTTGTCACAGTAGCTTTTTACCGATGGCGTGGTGGTTTTAGAGAGATTCGGAAGAGAAGTTGCAAAAGTTTGTGGAAAAAATTGGGAGGGTATGTACAAGATGGAAATTGAAAGTGAACATTCTTAGGAAAGAGGAAGGTGATGAGGGTAACAAAAAATTTAGGTAATGGAAGGCTGGACTCATCAGCAGATGGGTCTCTGAAAAATGGGGTGAACCATAGAATTGATAAGGGGGGGGAAAAGGTGGGTGGTGCATTGAGGCATCTATGGAAACAGAATGTTATCCATGGAGGCAAAATGGGAATGCATCAAAATATAGTAGTATCAATACTCTTATAGGGGTGTGAAGCATGGGTTTTAAAGATTGCAGCAAGGAGGCTGGAGGCAGTGATAATGGCACCAAAAGTACAAAATTTGATGGAAGACTTAAGGACTTATGCAGGTGTAAAGTTAGCGGTCTGGGAGTAATTTATGCATAATCGATTTTGCCTGCTTTGAGCCCTATTTTAAATTAATTCCCTTGCTCCATTTAACCAAATTCTTAGCTATTTCACTAGTATGCCTTCTGTTCTGTTGTTTGAGCACAAGAAACTGCCCATTTAACTATTACAACTATGTTATAAAGTGCACAGATGGTAATTTGGCCAGTTTTACACAAAATTAAAAAATGCCAATTTAAAAATAGTGTGCAAAATAAATAATGTAGACATTCCTGGCACTAAAATAACATTTCTGTTCATGAATCATGTCTCCACTTTCTGTTTGATTCATTATTATTATTATTATTATTATTATTATTATTTTTATTTTTATTATTAACGAGGAAATGCTAAATCCATACAGCACCTGAGGAATGGAAGGTAATCATGTTCAGTCTAAGAAAGGGGAGAACTCTAATTTCTTGGATCAAGAACCCTTTCTTACCCTCGATGCAAGCACTCATCTTGATGCACTTGTTTTTTACTCTCTCTAGTTTTGGTTTGTGTTTCATATCTGGCAAGGGTTTCCAAACGGACACTGCATACTCAAGGATGAGTTGTGTAGGTTCCCTGAACACCACTCTAATGTTTGCTTGTTTAGCCTGTTTTGGTGATGCTATTTTGTTTTTATATACTACATATATATATACATGTGAACTTGCTATAGTCTTTAATGTTGCAGACAAGAATTTCACATAGGTACCTTGAACTGTGTCATGCAAGATTACTCATTGCACAACGGCATTCCTTATTTATCAACAAATATTTTCTCACTCTCGCTCTCAGTCTTTGTACTGTTCCACTCCTTATGCTTCTTGCTTACATAACATAACTCATAACTCATATACTATAATGGGCTTGTGCTTTCTTTCTGGGATTTAGGTATGCATGGATCCCCGATCTATGACTAATATGACTTTTTCTGGGGAAAAGGTAGGATGAATCTAGTCCAGTCTCCTCCAGTTTATTACAGATGAAAATATGTTGACAATACTTATGTGGTGGGTGAGGGAGCTACCACATTCTTATATTGATAAATAATTTATACCCAGTCAAAAATGGGGCTTTAATGAAAGAGCAATGGAAGGCCAAATAATTTCATTGTTTCTTCCTTTTCCATGTTGATACATTGAAAATACATCTCTTGATATAGATACAAGCTCTGTTGTTTCTATTCCTTAGCTATACCATGTCAAAATATACTTTGTGTACTATTACTTTATCACTCTGTCTCTGGTTCGCTTTGAAATTACAGTAATGACAATGCATTCTTCTTTTGCAACTGAATTAGAGGACTGACAGCTAATCATGTGGACTGAAACTGATTTAAAAAACAATAATGTAGACATTTTAACTCTTAACCACAAATAGTTATATATGTGTAAAAGTGGCACAGTACTTTAAAGCTTTTCTCACACTTGAAACAAGGAAAATGGCTGTATTGAATCCACATCTGAAGATTTGTGTTGAGTATCACAGCCATTCTTAATTATGCAAATATGTACTTATCGGTAGATTGAAACTACTTATCAAAATAAATATATTGGTATGTATGTATGTATGTATGTATGTATGTCGTGCCGAATAGGCAAAACTTGTGATCTTGGCTTAAATAGCAACGCTCACCTTGCCATATATGATGAGCAAAAATTTGTGTATGCAATAATTTCGGCAAAATCATTCTGAACCTAACGAAAAAAAATATATTTCATTGTGTTTGTTTAGTATTAAATTATTGTAAACAAATCTAAAATATATTTAGTTGGGTTAGGCTAAAATAAATTGCGCTTGTTATAATAAGGTTAGGTAAGTTTTCTAAGATTCTTTTGGAGCAAAATTAAAAATTTTTACATTAACTTTAATGAAAAATATGTATCTTCAAACGTATAAGAGAAAATTTTAGAAAGGACTTAATTTTAAATGAGTTCTTGCTAATTGACCAGTTTTACATATTCAGCACGACATATATATATGTATTTTAGATTTGCTTATGATAATTTAATACAAAACACAGTTAAATATATTTTTTTCGTTAGGTTCAGAATGATTTTGGCGAAATTATTACATACACAAATTTTCGCTTGTCTTATATGGCAAGATGAGCATTGCTATTTAAGCCAAGATTGCAAGTTCTGCCTATTCGGCATGACATATATATATATATACAGGGGTTGGACAAAATAATGGAGTATATATACATGTATATATATATACTACATACATACATACATACTAAAATCAATAAAAGGGTTAATGTATTTCTGCTGTTAATTCTGAGAAATATTTACTAGTATCATGGATATATTTGAATTCTGCCATAGCAGTCAGAGGCATTAAGACCACATGATAAAGCTTGTATCAATTATGT